AAACAGAAGCAGAACTGGTGGTCTCAAGTGTTCAACTTTTGGTTGAAATTTTAAAATCTTAAATTTACATCAAGTCTATGGCCATACCACCCTGAACGTGCCTGATCTCGTCTGATCTCAGAAGTTAAATTTACATCAATAGAGTATTTGTTAGTCTTTGTTTGAAATTTTAAAATGTAAAATGACTTTTGTATTCATCAGCATGCTATCTTAAGTGTTTTTCTTCCACTTCAAAAAATAGAGGCATAGATCATACTAATCCATAACATAAAGTTAGTATATTTTTGGTTCAGATTGCTTAAGAAATCACACATAAAATATACTTTCACAAGGCATAATTGCCCATGCCTGTAATCCCAGCATCCAAGAGGATGACGCAGAAGGATTGCTGTGAATTTCAGGCCAGCCTACATGACACAGTGATCTCAACTACACGGTGAGACCCTGTCTCAAAAAAACAAAATGAGACAAAACCAAAGAACTCTATACTTGTTAAATGTGGATTTCTACTTTGACAAATTCCATCTCACTACGGAAGATTTTTAAACATGAGAGCAAAGAAAGATAAAGATGCAGTAGCCCTTGGTGAAAAGAAGCATGTACAAGTGAAATAGCCCTGCATCTTTGCGTCTCTCTCTAAACAACTGTTGGAAATTATTATAAAAATATTTCTCCTTTTGAATTTAACATTTACTATGTAAATTCTGTTCTTTACCTAATTGTTGCCTTTGTTTTAATAATTCTTATCCCACCTTCTCTGCCCCTGTCTTTTGGTATTCATCAAAGAGCAAAGAGATTATGCTTAGAGAGCTATAATTTATAAACTTTTAAGAACTCCCCTCTCTTTCTCCTTTAAACCACAATGTGATGTGGGCAGATAGATAGTATGTGCTTGGTCTCCTCCAGCTGAGCTAAATAACATGTCTGAATTCCTTACGTATGTAATATCTACATAAGATCATCAAATACTTAATAAGTAGCTCCATTTTTCCTCCAGCTTTTCACTTGTAAAACCCAAAAGTTGTGTGATCTACATTTTGCAGATTTTTTTTAACATTTACTATTAGAGTGAGACAAACATGGAAGCACATCTCCATTAACTGGCTGAAGAAAAACAAATGATAACCAAGTACAAGAAAACATGACCTCAACAAGTGTCTCTTGTGATTCCTTAAGAATTCTATGTATGTGGAGGGGAGGGGCAGAGCACACTGATCAACAGTACACGATGTATTATGTGCATGTGAAAACTCCACACAATAAATACAATCATTATGCACTACAAACTTGTACAAAAGAAAAAGTTAGAATCAGACGGGAAGCATGAATTATAGTGTCGGATTTTATGATAAGGTGACCATCATTAACAGTAAGGAATTGCATATTTCAGAATGACTAAAAGACAGATTTTAAAGTGTTCTCACCGTATGTCACATTTGTACTTATTTTTCTAAAAAATGATCAGTGGTCCTGAATCTTCCCTACATCTATGTTCACTGTTTGGGGCACTTTACCGAGTTGGCTCAGTACCCTCTGCCATGATACTCCATACTTCCTTTAATGCCACACTGATGTCCAGCCACATTCCAAGCTCATGTATTTCTTTTGTTCACGTCCTTGTTTCTGTAATGTCTTTCCCTGGCATGCATCAGTGTCACTGTCCTTGCTATTAAGCAAGTGTCCTCTTTCTGCTATTGTAAAGTAAATGTTACCCACCTGTGAGTAATTTCAAATCACTGCACTGTTGCCCTCGGCCACACCACGTGTTCTGCCAACATCCCCTGGAAATGGAACAAATTCCTGTTTGTCTTTCAGACTTCTCTGTAGATATCGAAGGATTATCAGTATTTTCACAAGTGAGCCCAGGCCTTTCTATATCGCTAGGGCTCGGAGTCAAGTGACAGGAGCCTGCAGCACAGCTCAGCAGCTACCCCGTGACTCCAGGGCCTTCCTTCTGGTGCTTCATGGAACTCAGCATCTGTCAGATCCCCGACCACTGAGTTTCACTGACAGGAATTTTCAGACTGAAATTGCTATTATTCTCTGAAAATTATTCTTTTGTGAATTAAATTTGAGAAATTCTACAATAATTAAACCTGAGAAAGTTAAGGCATGTGTAAATATTAAGAAATTTGGGGCTGGAGATTTAGCTCAGTGGCACAAGTGCCTGCCTGCCAAGCACAAGGTCAAAAAGAAAAAAAAAAAAAAAAAAACCTTTAAGGCATGTCACATTAAACTGCAAGAAATTATACAAAGGTTCTCAAGTGCCTTTTTATGTATTTCACTTTGTAAGTCCCTGTTTAGAAGTTCATGAGGTTGACATTCTTCTTGGAGAGCAGCCGCACGGACGTGACACATCCAGGTTCCTGCACTCCCCGTCTGCTCAGGGCCTTCTGCCTTGTCTCCTCTCTAACCCCCTTCCCGGTGTGCATTATTACCATTAGTTTTATTTTTAGTTCACGTTTATGACATACAACATTGACATTCCCCGCGGGTATTTTCTACTGGCCTGTTTCTTCCTCTTTTCCTCTCCCTTCTCCTCACTCCGGGTGTCTTGGGCCTGTCCACAGAAGATCCGTGCCCACGGGTCTGGGGAGGTCAGGTCTAGGAAGGCAGGAAAGCTGACAGTGGCCATCTCACTGGCTTTATTTGCAATGTCTTTCAAAATATTACGCTCTTCAGATAATACACTGCTGTAGCTCTAACTAACTTTACAAAGATGAGGCCCTAGTATGTGAAGACATTTTACTTTTTTAAGGAGATAAAGATTAATTATATCTCTAAACACAGAAGTTTCCTCATTATTTCATGGAAAAGTATTTAGAAGAGTTGTAAAATTTTTTAAAAACTGTTATTATTTTTCTTTGTAGATATCCTTTCAAACTACTGATTCTCTTTGAAAAAAAATACCTGTTCATTGCATGATTTCAGAGAAATTTGATTTTAACAATCAGTGAGCACCTCAGAGGTTTCTGAAACACAGGAGAAAGTAAAATGGAAAGAAAGCATTTTGAACATTTCAGAAATAGTTTTGTTTGTCAGATTTGGTTGGCTAAAGTACATGGATCATTTCTTAAAAATTGGAAAACAATTTTTAATTTATATAAAGTTTATGTAGATTTCAAATCTCTTTGTAAGAAACATAAAAATTAATATGAATAATATATATTACATTTCATAAGGATAAAGTAAATATAAAAATTTATACTAAATTATAGCAAAAAGCTTTTCTTCTATGGTAATGTTGAAAACTGAGAATATGATTTAATAAGCACAAAATAATTTACATTTCTTACACATCTTAGTAACTGTTCACCTTTATAACCACAGCAAGTAAGTCCTAAAGTAAAAGCAATTTGGGGCAAAGTAGGACAGACATCATAAGAAATCCCATAGTCAGTTAAGGTATAGTCACGTAAGATGTATAGCAAGTTCATGGTGCACGTAAACTTCAGTGTCAGCTACTATTATTGTGAATGTTTCTTAATGTTCCTGTTACAATTATTTCTCTATTAAAGTAAATCTTGAACAGAACCCAAAAGTCCTTCAACTAATAAATGAATAAAAAGATATTTTTATATGATGGAGTACTACTCAAACAAGTATAAACTTTTATGACTAAATGGATATATCTTGAACTAAGATAAAACATGTTAAGGTACAAGTTCCCCAAGATGAATGTGATCATTATGTATATATAAAATCTACCAGTATACTTAATTTTTAAAAAGGCTCTTTAAGAGACTTTATTTTTTGCAGTACAGTTTGGTTTACAGCAAAAGTGAACAGATGTTATAGGTTCCCTGAATTTTCTATTCTTTCCAGCTCTGCCAGCTTCTGTGACTGCACGGACAGTGGGAGGAGTAGTGCCCACTCCTGGGTGTGCGGGGAAGATCATGAAGAGGTGACACAGGCCCCGCGTCTGCTCCAGACTCTCCACTCTGACCCTCTTCCTTGTGTCTGTGTCCCAGCAGCCTTGCAGTAAGCAGCATGGCCCCAACTCTTCTGCCAGACACTGCTGCAGTGAAGCCAGCCATTCAGGGACTGAAACCTCTAAATCATGAGCCAAATGAACCATTTCCTCCTTTATGTGGTACCTGTTAGGCATTTATCCCAGGGACAGGAAAACTGAGTTTATACATTAACCTTTCCTGAAGTTTCTAGGATTTAGGAGCCATGTTTCATTTTGTTTCCCTAAGAAAAAATTGTTTACAGGAAGTATTACACTTAGATTAGTTTCAATGCATGACTAAAAACTGCTGATTTTTCTCTTCAACAGTAGCTAATACATCACAATAAAATCAATGTTGCAGAAACATGAATTTATTGATTGTTTGCGGAGCCTTACTTGGACAGCTCTCCTTGAGAGAAGGGCATTTGGCCTTACCTCCATGTATGGATGTGTTCAGAGTTGGCTGGTACATTTCCTTATCCCCTCAAGTGGCTTTCAATAATTCAAATAGGTGTAGCCCAGGGGCTGATGTGTAGGCATCAGCCTGAAGCTGTACAACAGGTGATACCCGCCTGTAACTCCCAAGTAACATGTGAGCTGGGCTGAGTGAAGGCACGCTGTTAGCTGAGAGTAAGCCTCAAGAAAAGAGGCTGTGACTTCTCAGGGCATGGATTACACATCAAAACTGAAGCACCAGCCCCCAAACACTAGATAGTGCCCCAATGAGTGTTATGGATATTACTTTCTCTGCATATTGCAGTGATGATTTCAGGCGTCCAGTCTAGCAGTAGCTCACACCACTTACATGCCTCCTGCCACTCTCAGTCACTCATCCCTGAGCCACTCGCCTCTTCACAAATTAATAAAACTTGGAGTCTGCCCTGGGTAGAGGCCTTTGTTCCAGCTAACCATCATTCTAACTGGACTTAGGATCCCTTTGGCTCCCCACAATTACAAAAATGCCTTAGCGTTGTTATTCTTACCAAGCATTACACCAGAACTGGTAGATTGGAATTAATTTATTAGAATTCCAATAACTTTTCCATGCAATTACAAGTGTGGACTTTTCTGAACCACAAAGAGGTCCAGAAAAGCTTTTTATAATTATTCTGTTATTTTATACCATTTTTATAAACAATAATAAACTACTATGTTAAATAAATTATTCAGGATTTTACCTATGGAAACTCAGTTTAAATCAATAAATTTTAGTGACTTCCTTACAAAACAACACCTTTGATCTTTATTGGTATTATTCTAAGCATTTAACAAACAAAAATCAAAGGTTTTATTAGAAAAAAATTTTTTAGTTTTAATCCATATTCAGGTATCTTGAAAACATTCCTAAATAGCTTTTTCACAAAATCAATGATCCACATTTAAATTTAAAATAAAGTAATTATAGATTTAAAACTTCATTGGCCAGGTCGTGGTGGCTCACACCTCATCCTGCCACTGGGCAGGCTGAGGGAAGAGGATCACCGTGAGTTCAAGGCCATTCTGAACCACACAGTAAGACCCTGTCTAAATTAAAAAACCAAACAAACAAACTGAAAAAAGAAAACAGCAACAACAAAAACCCACTTTGTCTCACAACTTTCTTTTAGAAAAAATCTTCTAAAAAATGATTAAAATGATAGAAACCGTATTGGTTCCACTTACCTCACACTAAAATTCTAGAACTATTCTATGATGAACAGCTATTCTAAGTAAATAAAGAAACATCATATACAGATTCTTTTTTCACTAAACTTTGAAGAGATTCTTTTTTTCCCTTCTAATTTTGGTATTAGCTAAAGAAAGCAGGTACTCTTTAAATCTCTGATCTAAACTTCAGTGTGGAGTTTTTCATCTTCTCTTCATAATCTTTTTCAAATCTCTCATACTGAGCCACAGTGAACTGGTTTTTCCAGTCTCCTGAAATACCTGAAAAGAAAGTATAAAATTAACTGCACTTATATTTTTAAGCTTTTAACATTTGATTTTGTGCAGGAACCATGAAATTTACTTCCTCTTACACATCACCCTCACTCTTCTGCCCACCTATTCTCCTGAAAATCACATAGGCTTTCTGAATATCCTGTCTAAAACTATGATCTCCTTACTTGTTTGAAGAGATGTCCCTGAGAAACAATTATGGCATGGAATATCCCAAGGATAACAAACAGGGCATCACTTAGAAACTCAGAAGAAAGCACAGCAAACTAGCTACGATCAGCTCTTTCTGCTCCCAGGTTCCATATCTATGTGTTCAACAAGCCACAGTTCAAAAATTTGTAAAAAGTGCTAAAAATGTATAGAACCTTTTATTACTATAGCTATCTAAACAATATCATATACAAGCTATTTACATATCACTTATATTGTATTAGCTACTCTAAGTCAAGCAGCAGTGATTTAAAGGGCACAGCAGGGTGTGTATAAGCTCTGTGCAATGCCATTCCACAGGAAGAGTATGAGCATTGTGAATTTCTGTACCCAGCAAGGGTCCTGGGGTCAGTCCCGTACTGATACTAAGAGCTGATTCATTGTCAGTCTGGGCTAGATTTTTCCAGTTTTCCTATTTTATTTATATATAGATCCATTATTGACATTTAGTCAGACAATTCCTTGAAGAAAAGGAGGCACGTATTGTATACTGTGGGACACTTAGCAATTTTGTTAGCCTCAAAGCATTAGATGTCAGTAGTTTTCTCTTAGTTATAACAATAAGAAAAATCTCCAGATATTCGTTTCATTGAGATACAAATATTCCCAGCAAGAGTTATCCATGGAATATTTCTTAAATTACGAAAAATTTCCCATACCTACAAAATAATTGATATTCAATTATTAATCAAACTAGCCTATTAGATTTTAAATTTCCTTATTTTATATTAGCTATGCAGAATAATTCCTTGTTAGAAGAGTAGCTAATGAAGATTTATTCCTATTTGATGGACTATCTCTTCACCTTGTTGATTATCTCTTACCAAAGCATCTCTCTCTCCAAACTGTTATCTTTAATTGTAGGTAATAATTGTTCTTGGTATACTTGGTATACTTTATATTTTTGCTTGTCATGTACTATATGATATGTTTGCTTTATTGGCTTAGATTTTTATTTGTTTTTGGCAAGCAACATTTGAACGTGTGTTCTATGAATTACCTCTGACAGAAACTTTAAAAGATGTTCAAGCTTCAACCAGTGCTCTCAACCATCATATCACACATACAGGGACTTCTCTCCACTGGAGTTTCCAAAAGATACTCCACTAGGATCTAACCCTTGGAAAGCCACATATAACTGTAGCAGTCATAAGCAACAAGAATCTGCCAATGTGCTTAAGAAATATTAATATACCTGGATAATTTAGATTAATGAAATTTCTACTTCTGATAAAGTGCCAAAACTCATGCTTATTACTATACAGGTTATGTAATAAACATTTATTTTTGGAAGGATTACCCAACATGTTAGATTTGCAACAAAGATACAATTTTGCCACAGACTATCTCCCCTAAAGTTTTTTGCTTTCTTTTCTTCTCAATTTTTCCCTCTTCCGCATACTCAATTTCTTCCAATTTCCTACATCATCAAGTATATATGATTATCTATATTCTTCATCATGTAATCAGCAAACTACAGAAACAAGTGGATAATAATCTCACCTTTTCTCATGAAGGGAGATACTGAGTGGTCCATCTCTTCTTTCGTCAAAGTGGTATAATTTGCATGTGGATTTTGTTTCATTACATTAAAAGAGCTGTGATAGAGGATTTTATTCACAGCTTCTTCTGACAGGTCTTTTTCTAGAAACTGCAATAACTTTTGAATTTCACTCTTTGGATCCTAAAATAAAAAGGTAGAAAGAATCATTTCAGAAAGATTTGATTACAAGTAAAGGAAAGCATGTAAAATTTTCCACATATGTCATAATAATAGAGGTGATACTTTTGGACTTTCATAACATTTTTCATTTAACTTTTCAATTACATGTCCTTTCCTTGGTTATGTCAGGCAACCAACCGCAAAGTGGAAGATTAAAACTGTTTTTCAAAAAGTGAAAGGAAGATGATTAGGGGAGTAGTCACTGTGTTACATTCAAACACGAGATTAATGTGAGGATTAATATTATAAAAAAGCAAGCTACTGCTATAAGTAGGCATGATTTGCAAATTCTCTTGATCTTTAAACATATCTAGAATTACTGATGGTTTATCTATCTCAAAATATTTATAGTGGAAAATATTCCATTTCTAGCACCTATAAATATTTTTTAGTAGTATGGATATTTGAGGAAGAAAAGAAAATTAAAATCCTTTTGATTTCCCAACCTAAGGAATGGTGGGAAAAGGAGGCAGCAGTGGAGAAGAGAAGTCCGTTTAGTGTATTCTTATGATTCCCTTCTTTCAATTCCAAAATGGGCATAAGGAGATACATCAGCTACGCAGAAATGGCAGCAGTGAGCCCGAAGAGTTTGTGCCCTGTACTCGCTAGGGAATTGTTCTTCTTAGTGGTCCAAACCAAACTGTATTAGAAAGTCATAATCTTTGTGACATGGTGATATCAGTCAAAAGGACAATCTGAGATTTAGCTTTCCTGAATAAGCTGCCTCAGTTCATGGAAACAGAGCAGAGCATTTTCATGAGGACCCTAACATAATCTGTTTCTTGTTCCAAAGGAGCTGATAACGATATATTGAAAATTAGCCTCTAATTATGCAGGTGGGGAAACTTACAAGAGTTGACTCACAGTTGTGCCAAGTCAATTTGCAAGTTAGAAAGGATGGAAAAAGGTAGAAAGATGGGAAAGAGCAGAATACCCAAACTTAGAATGAAAATATTTGAGCGGCATCTAATTGTATCTTTGCATCCTCAAGTAACTTGTAGGTTCCTTTTTCAGCAGAGGTAGATTTGCTTCCCACACCTAAGGAACGTAATCTTCCCTTATTTGAAGACCTTATGACTTAATGTACTAAAATTTTCTTGTAGGACACAGGAATGAAAATCTTCTTAAAGACCCTCATTCAGCTTCTCTTTGGTTCTTACAGGGCAATAAATTGTTCACTGCCTCTGTATCATTCAATGACCACTGCAAAGTGGTTTTAATAAAACATACAAGAAGCTGCAAGCTTAGTCAAAGAATCCCAAAGGTTTCCTTGCAGATATGGAACTGGTTTCCCAAATTTACGAACTGAGTCTTAGACATTGTAAAGGAATTAATAGAGATTTACAGCAGCAAGATGAGACTCTTTGGGCTTCTGGACCCTGAGAAAATGGACACAAATTAGCCAGAGTTACCACTTGACTTGCTACAGGCTTTTTTCTCTTTTTGGTCCCATGGTGGCTCACTGAATTCAGATGGCAATTACTTTACTGATGCAAAAGGTCACCATCACATTTATGTTGACTCATGGAAAAGGGAAAGGTGGCATAGGATGATGGAGAGCTAAACATTAAAACATTAAAAATGCCAATCTCTCTAACCTATAACACTAATTTAAATTCCATGTAGAGATGTATTATACACTGAGACACTTGTAAAAGGAGATGGAAACACTCTGATTTCCTGTTCCTAAAAAGTCTTTCTCCAACAGTGGGTGATACCAGCAAAGTGGAACACAAATCAAATCAGATGCCTAGACAGAGATGATGCAGTAAGAGAAAGAACAGTTGAGTAAAATATGACTTTAAGACAGAATTGACAGGAAAGAAGATTTTCATATATTTCGACCCAGAGGGAAGGAAAGTAATATCCAAAAAGATGATGCTAAAGAAGCTGCAGCTATGTCTCACCTCTTTCATGTCTTCATAAAATAGGTAAAGGATGCGATAATCTTTCCTTTTCTCCCACCAGCCCTTCACGTGGTCATACCAGGACCCAAAACTTACTGAGAGTAAAGACAGAATATTTGCAAAATTACTATTTATATGAAGAAAAAAAATTTTAAGTGTCATTTAAACTCGTAATTATCATTGTATATATATATTGATTACTTATTAACTCAAGGAAAAGTAGTGATAAGAATAAAAGAAATACATGAGGTAGCTCTCTCTGAATTTACCCCTAGTATCTCAGACTGTGTCTGTCCTGGGATGTGATCTTTGAAGTAAAGAGTTTAAAATTAGGTCCTGAGGTAGGCACAAGCCAAGCAACATCCTTTAGAAGGAACAGCCCAGATGATACTTTGTGCTTCGGCTTACAACAACCAAAAGTATGAAAATATAAATACTTGGTGTTGAACCCACTCACCTATACTCTTTGCTATGGCAATGCCAGCAAATTAATGTAATTTCTAATAAATGAACCTGAAACTATGAGGGGGGGGCAGATATTTAGTAATACAGGTCACAAGAGATGTGGAAATTTACAGAGAGGAAAGGAAGAGAGAGTCATCTGAATGGAGCAGGTAGGAAAAGCCTATGGAGGAAGTGATATTTGGATCTAAGAAGAACCCGAGTTTAATAATGATAGTCACAAGCTATTCGTAAGGCATAGGCCAGGCAATGGCAGAAATGAGTCTATGCAAGATAGCACTGAGTTGTCTTTGCCACAAATACAGAATTCATATAGAGAAAGATTGTTAGGAGAATTGTTAGTTGTTATGGTTGTATCTGGATGCCCTTCCGAAACCTCATGTGGTCATAGATGGAACTGTAGCAGAGATGGCTTGATCTAGACTGTGTGATTCTGTGGTGTGATTAAGGATATATGGTTACTATACTAGTCCACTGATTGGTTTTGCACCACTCTAATCTCAGTCACCTAGATAGAGTATAAAAGGGAAAGAAAGACACTGTTAAGGTTCTTTGTTGATTTTGCTACCTGTGGGCACCATGAACTGTTTCTCCTCTGTGATGCCCCCTCTTTAAGCCACCCTGCCTTGGAGCCAGGCAATTATGGTCTGAAATCTATACTAACTGTGAGTTAAATAAACCTCCTCTCTTTAACTTTGAGTGCCAAATTTTTGTCTCAGCAACAATAGAGAAGTAACTAAGACATTATTAGTTGAGTTACAGTCATGACAATGATTGAATCTCCGAAAAAAAGAGAATACATCCGTAGAAAAACAGAATGGTAAGGACAGTTTTTTTTACTTAGGAGTATTCATAGTGTGTATGATTAAAAATGAAGGAATGCTAAAGAAAAAATGTCCAAGGAATATGTTTATAAAGTTAAAGTGGTATAATAGTGCAGGCAGCAAGAGATAAAAGCATTTGTATTCATTCACAGTAATTTCTAGCCATTAGTGGAACAATGGAACTAGAAACTAAGAAATGTGTGTCACAAATTCTCCAAAGATCCTTGGGGGCAGAGACACTGCATACATTCCACTTGCTTCACTGTCCTAGTACACTAGTACAGTGCTGGGTAAATTCAGTTATAATGAGCACAAGATTTATCTTTAAACTTGGTATCTCTTTTTAAAAAAAGATGTCTCAGTCTCGAGTGCCATGGTTAAAGGAAAAGTTGGACCTACCCTTCCCAGCCACAAATTTATCTAGAAACTCCTCCCAAGTGCCGGGCTCTGGGTGCATTTTTGCCATCTGGTGGAAATAATAGTAAGACACAGCCACATCTTTGGCGTTCCGTGCCATGTAGATCATCTGTAGGGAAATAAGAAAAACTAACATTTTAAAAATTCATGAGTAGTTGTTAAATTTCTGCCTAACATTATCAGAATCAGTTTGCTCTTCTGTATTTCCTGATCTTGACATGTACATTTAATATTCTGACATATATTCACAAATGTATATATTTTTAAGTTTATTCGTACATTTTAGGTACAACCAAGTTTCCCAACGTTCAATGGAATTTTTAATTTTCTGGATATCTATCTGAATTCATTTCATGCATTTTATTCTTTCCTCTGTTGACCAATCATGGTTTTTATCCTCTTTATATCATCATCCATTTTTTATGTATTTTTATTCTAGATTTGCTGAACAATTCCTTTAAAAAGGCTGACATTTCTTTTTCTTTACATGAGAGATTATTTCTGATCTGATTTCCTCTATAGACTTGTGGATTTGTTTCTTTGCTTTGGTTCCTATGACTTTAGAAATTTCTGGTACATGTCTCTTCCATTTTTCTCTATCTCATTGTCTCTTAGACTTGTTCTGTGTGGGCTGGAGATCTGAGATTGCATCTTGCTTCCATATCTTTTTATTTTCTATTTCAATTTTTTTCTTTTCTTTTCTGGGTAAATCCTTGTAAGTTTGTGCATAGTTATGTCACTAGTACCAAGTCCTCTCTAGGAAAAGTCTGTTCCTCAGAGATACTTTGTGTGTGTAGGAGATTCTTGGCTTTTGTCTATTTGAAGATCTTACCTTCCCAGTTAATTAATAGTTAGATGTCGGTAACTCTTTAGTTCAGTCCCCAGTTCTTTGGTGTAGGCCATGGTAAGGTTATTAACACAGTGTTTCCCAGTATTGTTATAGAAGGGAAAATAACTGATTAAAGAAGATGTGAATCTTAGCTAAAGTAGTATAATTAGCAATAATGATAGCATCAAGCACAGTTTAGAAGATGACAAACTGTGCCAGGTATTAGTTTTGGACCTTGAACCATAGGAGCAGAATCTAGAATTATGTAAGAACTGATTCTAAATTGGGAGCTTGTGTTCAAAATGTTTCCCATTGGTAGAGCAGCGTTACTGTGTGGTGGCAGGAGTTCAGAAGGTGGATAAAACAAAGGTAACTGAAAAGAAAGCAGCAGCAAGGCTGGAGGACAGCGGATGACGGTGCAAACTCTGAGAGACTGAGGGAAAGGCAGAAGAGAAGGAACCAGGGAGGAAGCAAGCAAGGAACTGTCTGAACTTGACTCTGGGATTAGATGATAGGGTTAGTTGTCGGTGATTAGAGTTCTCGCCAGCAATTTAGAAAAGAGGAAAAAGATGAAAGAAAAGAGAGAAAAGGAAACGAAAGAAAAGAAAAAACCAAAACAGAACAAAACAAAAGGAGAGAAAGAAAGACAGGGACAGAGAGAAAGAGACAACGGATTCCCTGTCCATCTGCTTCTATCCCATGCATCTTTGTCCCCAGGCACAGTGGTGGGTCACCTAACTCACCACCTGTTGACTCTACTGATATTGCTGCTTCAGACTATTTATGCCACTGGTCCCATCCTTCCATCCTGGGCAACCCGGTTGGGGCCGTATTGTGTCACTGGCATTCCCTCTGGTCCCTGCACCTCCCCAAGTGATTCACCTCACTTACGGCAGCAGCGAGGGGAGACACCATTCTCTGGGACTTCTGGCTTGGTTTACCCATGGTGAAGATGACAACAGGAAGGGCCACCCTCTATGCCTCCATCTTGGTGGCAATGAAGATGGCGATAGAAAGGCATTAGAATGGTGATCTCAGGATCTTGGAGTGGGATCTAATCCCTGTCTGTCTTCCAAGGCCCACTGTTATGGGGCCCTGTTCTGATTCCAGGGATTTATGGGTTAAATTAATATTTTCTCCTTTGCAATGATTTACCCAAGGGCTGCAATTCTTCATCTTTTATTTTCCTTAAATGATGAGAATAAAGTACAACCCACCCAAGTAAGAATTTATTTTTTTTTTTTTTTGTAATTTTCTACCTTACAATTGTACTTCCAAAACGAAGAAGGGAGGAGTTGAACAGGTAGGTGTGTTTTCATTAATCGAGGAGACGGCATGTTTTTCAACTGTTCAACACCTACAAATATAAAAATCAACAAACTATAAGCATTAATCCTGTTTAGTGGGTTAATATATAGCTCTTTGACTTCATAATTTATGAAATCTCTAATGAAATAAAATATTTTAAAATCTTGGTTCACTGGGAAGCTTTTTTTTTTTGCCTGTGAGTACAAAGGGATAATTACTTTCATAAATGTCTATGTAAATTTCATATGTAACACTGATGGGACAGAAATAGGCCATGTATTCACATAATCTCTTTCAGCTAATTAGCAATACATACCATGTATGTTGGCTCAAATACTGAATTGCAACATATAATGATGACACACTATTTAAAACTTTAAGACTTCCAGAATTAGGTAAACTATGCTTCATCAAAATCTTTTAAGCATACTTTACCTGGATAGAGAAAGAATAATTATGGATGGTAGTAAGTTACCAACATAGCAAAATTCCAATTCTTCTATGAAAGACGTTTATACACACTTGTGTCATTTTCCTATTTGACCGTTCTGCCTATCACACAAGGATAAGTACATTTACTACTGCAGGGAAAGGGACATTAGGAGAAAATACCGTTTGAAAATCCAGGGATGATAAGTTCCATGAAAGGCACGCGTTTGTATATTGCATCCCTTTGACATTTTTCTGCATCCCCATTGTTATAGATCAAATCCAGTATTTCACTGATCCAGGTTGTCCCTGAGGGAAAAAATAGAAATTCTAAACTTTCCTGTAAAACTTGAGAGGGTCTAGAGGCAAAGAAATTGTATAATATATAAACAAAAATATGTCTTTTATTTTCATTTTCCCCTTCCTCTTTTCTAGAAGATATCTTTATCTATCTTGAACAAAGATGTATGTACCATGTGTGCACATGTGTTTGTAAAATTTGATTAAATTATACACATAAGTAAGATTTTAAAAGCAGAACTAGAGAGATGATCGATCATGACTAACTATGTACTCTCCTAAGGGGAAAGGGAAGCAGCCAATTTCAAAGGTATTATTAACTCATATATTTCTTCTTATTATTAAAAAATATTATTGAGTCTTAGCATTCAAGAGAACTTCAGGTGAAAATATTCAACATTTTGTGAAGAGGTGAAAAAAAAGGATCTAAAATTTAGTAGTTTCTATCCTATTAATCATAAGAAGAAGTAAGTAATACTTCCTTAAAGGTTTTGTTTCTTGCTTTATTTTAGACATAAGAAATTTCTTTAAGAGATTAGATAGATAGATACTCCAAAGAGACCTAAATATGGCACATTTCACATCCCATTAGTAAATGCTATTGCATTTACTAGCAAATTGTGGCCCACAAAATATGTTTCAAAGAAATACTAATTTGACTGTGTTTTATACTTTGTAATGTAAAGTTTGTTTACCATGATATTTGAAAAAAAGACAGAAAATTTATTTCAAATAAAGAGTCACCTTGGAGACTGTGAACTTATAAGGTTAGCATAGAATATTCAAAATTCAGTGTTACCTCCCAGAATTGTTTAATACTTTGAAATAATTTTGATATCTGTGATTTTAAAGGACTAATAACTGATATAATTATTAAAGATTTCTTCTTCTAAAGAATAAATTGGGAATTTAAGAGAAGTTCATTATAGAATGTTTATTAATTAGAACAATTGGATAAGGACTAAAATTAATTGGATAATTACCTGGAAGAGAGTCTTATCTTTCTGTTATTTTCATGTACATACATCACTGGCTGAATCAGAAGATTCTTATGAGTAAATCTAAAGAAATAAATCATTGCTTACTCTATGTAACTCATTTTAAATTCTTATTGACATAAACTAGGTCAGCAGGTTATTTTATAAATAAAACATTTAAACACTAAAAGTTATATGTAAATATTTTATTATGTGTTAACTTAGAGTAAAGCAATGTGTATACTCTAATATAGCCTATATATTAGAATATATTTTAGACTATATACCAAAATTATACACAATGTTAATAGGTTTTGTTGGAATTTAAAAGAAAAATGAAACAAGATTAATTTTCTCTCCAGTACATTCTTCATTCAATGGCTGGCATTTCAGAATAGGAAGTGAATTTGCCTAATACAAGAAAAAAATATTCAGCAAACTACACACTGTGTTCCTTTTGAAAACTGATCAGCTGAGCTAAGACGTTCCTAGTAATGTGCACAGCAGTTGGTTCCCACATGTAGATCATTGTCTAATCAGTTAGGATAACTGTGGAAAGGGCTTACCGGACTTGGGGTATGTGGAGATTAGAAGGTCGTCTGGCTGGGCCTCAAATGACGCCACCTGAGCCCAGTGTTCAGCGATACTCCAGAAGAGGGGGATACCCTGAACGTCCACTAACTCTCTCCTGAACACATCGGGCTTGTTATCCATTATCCAGACTCTAAATTTTAAACACAATGATGCATTTTTCAAATTTAAGATATCATACCATTTTGATACCATGATCGTTACTCTCGATTCAGCAGCATCAGATTCCAGTACTGTGTGTCTGAATCGATAGAAAGAGAAAGGCTAGAAACTCAGAAGTCCCTGTGCAATTATGTTCATAATTTGTTATTCAAACATCACATAACAGTAGATTTCATTTGTGTATTAATTTCATTTCCTAGAACAAAGATTTCCGGGATTTGTGATAAGGTTACTGGACCTTGGGGATCACGTGGAAAATGTCCTGACCACAGTGCTGCTAATTCATTGCGGTGGAAATCTGACATTGAAAATGAGACATAGACTAAAAGAAGTCCTTCTTCTGAATGACAGAGCTGACTGGTAAATTATGCTGTGTAAATTACGTACCATAAACCATAAGAGTGAAAAGAAAATGTATGTGTGAGCCAAAGGCAAGGTTTAGTACCACCTAAGACAGTAACACCATGTTAATTTGTATAAATTCTTCTCTCAACAAATGTGCAATTCAAATGTACAATATGCTAATAAAGATGCAAAGACACTAGAGAATGATGGCAACCAGAGGGGACAGTTTCCTTGTTTCTGGACACTACAACTTAAAGGAACAGAGGTTTATCACTGGTACACAGATTCAGACGTGCCAGTCATCAGGATGCAAGGGTTTGGCAGAAAGGAGCTGCTCAAATTGTGATATCTGGGAGAGAGAGACCTAGGGAAACACCAGAGAGAAGAGGCCAGGTGTCAAATTTTCCTCAAGTTCACCCTGATGACCCATCTGCTCTAACTAGGACCTGCTTTCTGTGAGAAACTTATCAATCAATTATCTCATCAGTGAATTAACCCATTGGTAAAGTTAATCCTTTCACGATTCAATAAACTCTTCAGGAGTTTGCCAATATAGGCAGGGTGATAATTTAGATTAACTAGCACAAATTCATTAACATTCAGTCACATTTCTATTTTACTTAATCTCTGAAAAAAAAGGGCATGTTTCAATGTAAAATGGTACAACTATCCTTTTGACAACTGAAAAGTGCTTTGATTTCTCACCTGCAGTTAATTAGTTAGTTTTATTTGTTTGTTTATTTGTTTGTTTGTGACAGGATCTCTTTACAGTTCAATCTGGCTTTGAATTCGCTATGTAGCCAAGACTGGCCTTGAACTTGCAGCATTCCTCTTGGGTGCTAGAATTACTTACCTGCACATCTGGTTTCCCCTAAAGTTTCAACAGTTCTATTACTGTTCAAAAATCCAAGTCCAAAGCCTCCTTTGATACTGAAGACAAACTTTTAGCTGAAAACCCCTATAAAATTCCAAAAGCAAATTACATGTTCCCAAGATACAGCAGTATGGATAAAAGAATAGGGAAATGGAGTAAGAGTATAGCAAAGAATAGGGAAAAAGAAAATACCAGACAAAAGCATGAACAGAAGTCAGTAGGGGAAACACTAACTCCTGAACCTCTATGCCCAGCCACTGAGCACATGGTAATAAGCTGTGAATTCCAAGTGCTTGTACAGCTTCATACCTGTGGCATTACTCACTGCACTCCACATGGGCTCTGTCTTGGGTTGGCTCTTCTTGCTGTCTGTGGCTCTCTTTGCTGGATAATCCACCCGCCTGGCATCTTCAGCTATCTAGAGTTTCTGCTAAGCTTCAGCCTCAATGCAGTCACACATTACATTCTCAGGGGCTCCCAGCAGGGAACTTACAACACTGTTTATAACACTTGTGTGGCCTCCAATACCATCCTAAAGTCTGGGTGAAAGCTTTTGTGACACCATAACCCTTGTATACTGACTTCTTGAATAACCAGCATCATGTGGGTAACATGGAGGCCTGTTGCAGGCCTTCTCATACCGTGGATGCAATAACCACCAGTGCCCATGCAACAGCTGGAACATGAGATTGCCATGAAATTTCCTCTAGCACGTCAATTAGTCCACTTCCTTTAAATTCAGTCTAACACAAATTTTTAAAGCATGGGCAAAATGTAAAGTAATACGCCAAAATAAAACAGGCATAGTTTCTACTTAAATTCCCAAGTAGATTCCTCATTTTAATCTGAAATCTTGCAAGACTGGCATTTAGTCTCCACACTTCTATCATCATCCCAGTCTTCTGAGCTCTCATTAGAATCACCCATCAAGCTCTGTTTGCATCATTAAGGGTTTCTCTAGCCTGTATCTCTAGACTTTCCAAACTTCTCCCACAAACCACTTCAACAGCATTCTGAACCTCACAAGTCTCAGCAGTGAGGCTGTTTCTCTAGCACCAATTTTCTGTATTAAGTTTCCTGTTGCTCTATTAAAACAGCCAATCCTAAACACGTTGAGGAATTTATTGGCTCAGTTTCAGATGTTTCTGTTCGTGGTGTCAGATGTCAATGGCACAGGGGCATGGTAAAGAAGCACTGCTCAAATCATAGTGTGTAGCAAGCATCCACAGAGGGAACAGCCAGAGGGGAAGATGCCAGGGAACAGATACAGTCTCCAAAGTCATGAGCCATGTCCCACTCACTCCTAAAGGCCCCTCCTCTGAATAGGCCATGCTGTTATGAACTCATCAACAGTCTATCCCAGTCCAATCCCCTCCCCACAGGTTTGTTAATCCAATTTGATGGGCAGCCAAATGTGACCAGCATAATAGATTTTGACATCAACAGTAGAATTTTAACCAGGACAGACAGGATTATTCATTAGGTTGTGCAATTCATGAGGAAAGATGAAGAAGAAAAGTGTGAAATACATTCAGAAGAAAGAAAGCAGCTCTTGCTGACATGTTAGGGAGTTAGCACACTTATTTACTGATTTGTTTAGTAATATCCATTGACTAGTGTGTATCAATATTTGACCCTAAATAACAGACAAATGCCTTTGCCTACATAAAATTTACTTTGTAGAGATTTATAAAAGATATAACAAGTGGTGTGAAATGCTGCAAATACTGGACAACAAAGTTTGTGCTCAAGTAATGAGAAAATGAAAGACCATTAAGATTTTGAACACAGGAATGACATTGAACTTATATGAAAAATCTGAGGAAAGATATACATTTGAATTCTCAAAAGTACCTTTGCAATATCCAAACATACTATAAATGATTAGATCCTAATTTAGCTTAATTTATATATGATATTTAGTGCTTTTGACTATATGTTCTTGAAATGCTCCTGTCTTTATTACCATGTTGCCACCTCAGAGATCTTCTGCCTGTTAATTCTCAGTTTTCCAAAATACATTCCTATCCCAAAAGCATCCAACACATTCTTTATCTTTGGATTCTCATTCTGAGCTTTCAGGTCTTATTTTAAACCATTGTCCATGTTTTTTACAACCATCTGTGACTTGATAACTCTAGTATATTAATTTTATGGACATTAATTTTATATTCTACACTCCAGAACTAAGTAGCCAACTATTTTTGCACATTTTTCCCAGATATTTCGCCCCAAGCATACCACATTCATGACAAGTTTAATTTGTCAGCCTCACTCCCCGCTGACATTGTTACTGTGCTGGTTTTCTGTACCATTGATCTGAGAAAGACTGAAGGCCAGATTGGGAGGGAAAGTAGTTCATGACCCTATTCACAAAGAAGTTTCTATTCTAAATGATTATTCAAAATCTATACACCCAACAGAAACTGCTTTTATTTATTCCTGCATTATTTCATTCTCAAAAAACAAAATCTACTGTCCCAAACAAACCCTGCTGTCCTATTTTTTTCCAAGGAGGAAAGGACCAGAAAAAAATCACGTAAGTTTCCCCAAGCCATGCTGACAATAAATGGCATGATTTTTAGAACCAGGATAGTTTGACTGTGGGAGATCTGAACACTATATAAATATTGTAAGCACTGAAAAGATACGTAAGCACTGAAAAGATAAAATCATAATACAAAGTAACATAAGAGAAGTATAAAATTTAAAAATTAGAAAAACTTTACTATGCTAGACTCAGAAACTTGTGTTAAAACACTTTATAATTACATGGGGATGTAATTTACTAAAGATCACACAAAGGGACTTTTAGAAAAACCTAATAACACAAATTATTTGTTTTAGCAATATTTGTCTTTCTAAAACTCACATATTTTACAAGATTATGTAATACTGAAAAGTTTATCTAGATTTAGCTCTGAGAGAGAAATTGCTTATTTTTAAGCCTTTTATCATGTGGGGAAAAGATTTAATGAAGTATTTTAAATTTGATTTATATACAGACCTCAGTACCTTCTAGACTGTATATGCTTTCATCAATATCTAATCACTGATTTTACACTCAAGGTGAAAACATATCAGTGTCTTTAAAATTTTTATGAATCAGATTTAAATTTTGCATGCATCCAACTATATTTGGGTTATTTTTTCTTGAAACCCACAACCAACATGTCCATGGAACAAATGCAATCAAGTGTAACTTACCTTCAAACTACTGAGAATTTTAAGTGAATATCCTCAAGTGAAGAATCCAGAGCCAAAAAGGCATTGAAGTTTGGTGCTCTTGAGTAATGTATACGTTAATATGTGGAAGAAATCCAATTGTTGATTGCTCAGGAAATGTTGAACAAAGATGACTGATTCCCTTAGGTCTCTTCTCTGTTTGTGTCTCCAAAAATGTCCCTTGAGGTATAACTTCCTCTGGAGGATGAATGTAAGACACTGGAAACAATTTAATATTCTACATGTTGAGAATAGTCAAGTAACTAGCCCAGGTTAATTTCAATAGAATTAATGGTTTTTGTAACCATTATCAAGTTAACATAAACAAATTTTGTAACTAAGAATGTTATATTCCTTAAAAATAAAACACTGAATATTAAACTGGTAATCAGCACAGTATTGTCTTCAATTGATTTCTAATATTGGATGCTTTTAAGCCTTTACTTTACATATAAAAGCTAACATACTTTCATAACAGAGATGCAGTATCTGTGGGGCTCTTTTGAGTGTAACACTGGGAGATTAAAGATGGTTTTGAGTCCAGCTCTTCCATAATTCACCAGGATGACCGTTGGGTAATTAATTCATATTTTTGAACCATACTTTACTTATCTAAAACAAAGCAAGAAAATATACAAAATGATCACTCTAATTTGTTTTATTTCTAATCTTACACAATTCTAAGTAAAAGTAATATTCTTCAGTTAACAAATGTATGCTTTAATAAGTCACAATTGCTTAAACTTGAACAGAACACTCTATTGCTACAAAATTCCATCAGGGTGGCAATTAAAATGCAACTGCATTTTATAAAGATTTATAGTCCATGTTTTTAAAGGACAATCTTAAAAACACAGCAATACAAAGGTTGTCTTGTGTTTTAAAACCTTTACAGTTCATCACTGTAATAAAATGACACAATTATGTGAGTTATGACGCTTGTTCTCTGTATACTTAGAAATAAGACTGTTATTAATTTCCACCCTACATCTCACAAAACTGTTATTTTCTATAGGAAAGAAAGAAAGATTTTAACTTCATAGTTTTGCCATTTTTAACTCACCTTAAACTTGCTATTGTGAACTACCCACATTAAATCATCTAGAAATGACAAACTAACTAGTCTCTTCTGTAGATCTATGTTAATCTGTCCATAACAATGGAAAAGAAGAAACAGCTATATAATACTTTTCATTAAACTCTTATCATTATGTTTTCCTAATTACTGCCATAAAATTAATTTCTTTGACTACTTTGCTGTTGATAGGTAGAAAAATATTGTGGTAACTGATTCTATGAAATTCACCACAAGATTTTCCACAAATAAGATACTGAAGATTGAAGCAGTTAATTTATTTGCCTGGTTTGCAAGAACAATAAAGGAGTAAAAATGTGCTTTAGCTCTTACTGTAGGCTTTGAGCTACTGTATTACGATATCTATGTTTATGTATCTTTACCTTGTTTTATAGTTATTTAATTGCATGATTTGTCATTTTTTGTCTCCAACTTATTTGAGAATAAAATCAATTTCTGGTTCACTTTTACTCACAATCAAATTTTACTACAAAGATCTGCAGTACCTAGGAGTTAGTCCGAAGAATATACATTGCAAAACAAAGGAAGCAGTGAAAAGACAGCTCATTCAAAGAGAGGAAAAAGTTTACTTGACATTTTGAAAACAAAGTTTCACTGGAGACAATACTAATTAACAACCTGCAATTCCTTATAGAATTACAACATTAATGTGAGGAAATGGAATAGTGGGTTTCGTGCTAAAGGTGTTTATTTATAAATTATAATTCTAAAATTTGTAATTCCCTATTCATGATAGTTGGTCTCCTTTTCTAAAACTGTGAAATATGCTGTTATCTACCTGTTGCTTCACCATATAATCTCAACCGTTTACTATAAAAATTGTTTCCTGGCCTAGACAAGGTCACCATTATCAAAACAGAGTAGGTAGAAAAGATGTATGATTAGAATACTGTATCATTTCCCCATAACAGACATATTCATGGATAATTCAGGTAGAAATCATAGAAATGCCTAAAATGCTAAGGAACTTATTGCCCCCAAAAACTAAAAAAAAGATTTAATCTGAAATTCTGAGAAGTTTATCATATAATTACATACTGACAAGAGGTAAATTGAGATACTTTTTAGCAAAGCAAAAGTAACAGTGAAGGAAATCGAAACATATTAAAAGTGTAAGTAGGACAAAGATTTTCTTCTTGGTTTACTGGTCTCATTCTATGTTAATCTTACAAAAGTACTAGCTGTCTCCACCGTACAGGAGTCTTAGGAGTCTAAGACTGTACGCACTGCACTTCCTCTTCCGTCCCTGGAACCCATGGAAACGTGGAAACTTCATTCACTTTCTCAGTATGCTCCTGCCACGTGCCAGTTAGTGCTCCTTACAGTCATGATGGAGGATTTACAGATCTTTCTACCTTTAAGCCACCCTCAGATTCCATCAAAGGGTTATCACATTGTTGTTTAATTTGAAGGACAGTGCTTTTTTTTCTTTCTTTCTTATTTTAAAAATTTGCCTTCTTTAGTGCACTAGACCATTTGAACACTCTTTCGTTCTAAAACTACTTTGTAGCTTAGCTTCAGTTACCCTATTTTCTTCTGGTTTTCTTCATTTATATCTTGAAACTCTTTAATGCTGGTGCTTGGGAAGCGGTATTGGTGACTGTCTTTTTTTACATGCCTCTCCCCTAAATGTCAGCATGCATCTGAATTTCACTCTTCCGAACTCCAGACCTTCTTTTTGATGATTTGCAAGTTTTGTCCTAGAAAATCTCCTACATCCAAATCGCTATTTAAGAAGGGGCTAACCTCCTGAGCCAGGAAGTTAAAGTTTAAGCTAAACTGCTTACAGGTAATCCTCCCTGGATATCACATAACTTTTCAAATCTGACATGCTCAGAATTGAAGTCATTATTTTTTCTATACCCTGCTTTTAAAGAGGGCAGGGGTCTTATATTTTACTATTTTTTAATAGCCAGTTACCTCATGAATTGGAATCTTAATTTCTCTCACTTTCTTCAACTCCCTCAGTGGTTAGACTCTGTCCACTTTACCTATTGAAATCCTCTCTACATTTTCACAATTCTCATACTTGCTGTTTATTTCAGTGGTCCAGTCTTAAGACAGAAAGATCATGGTGAATCACTAATCAGTTTATAAGTACCTGTGAGATAATTCATTTGAAGAGAGATTAGTGGAGTTGTGGTCGGAATGGTAACATCAAGAGGAATGAAAAGTTTAGAAGAAAAAGAAAGGTAAACATGCTGTTAGCTCCTAGTATAAATCTGATCTAGTACAACATAAAATTCTCATCATTCTTTACCTTAATATCTTTTAGTAACAAGAAAAAAATCTTTATTTCTATTTTCTCATTTCTACTATGCTCCTTAGTCCTTGACAACATGGACTGTCCCTCTATACATACTCAGTTCATACCGGACCTTCATTGGACCTCCAAATGATACAGGACTTTCAAGTGATCTAAACCTGCTAGATCTCTGATATGCTGAGCTCTTGCACCCCAAAATTACAGAGTGAAATCTGAGGAACAACAGAAGTTAAAAGTAGAAAATTGCATTGAGAGAGAGAGAGAGAGAGAGAGAGAGAGAGCGAGAGCCAGCTCCTGTGAAGTATGGGAGGGGCTCCAAGTGGGTGCCAACAAGCACGCTTCTTAGAGGAAGTTTCTTTTTTTTTTCTGGGTTTGTCATTTGCTTTTTTTTTTTTTTAATTTTATTTAAGGAGAAAAGAAAAAAACAGTGAAAGGGTACAAGTTATACAGATTTACAGAAAAAAAATGAACAGTAGGAAATCACTAGTTAATGGATTACATATTGCCATCTTAGAAATAATTGTTCAAGTCACAAAATTAAAGCTTGTAGAGTGGACATTCCAACAATGATACTGCAAACAGTTCTGTTCAATGATCCAATAAAACTCTGTGATATCATTTCCTATCTTATACACTTAAATATACATGCAGTTATATAGTTTAGAGCACTTTCTTTTCCTCTCTTTTGTATAATAACTATTACCACAGAGCAAAATCCTAAGGTATAAAATACTGAGGTGGGTACAAAGGAGGACTAAACTATAATCAAACAATCAGGTTGAATTGTAGCCACTTAAGTAATACAGATCCAGTGGGGAAGCAGGTATTGTCACAAGTGTGCACAGAAATAACAAAGGACTTTTCAGGAAGGGATGGACTGTGCCACTTGGGCACTTACCAAGATGACTGATGCCTGTCTAGACTTTACTATACCAGGTATTAAACTTATCCCTTGGAGAGACATACAGACCTGGTCAATCCATTTTTATATTGAAGTCTGACTTCCAACAGATATGCTTCCAGCTATAGTTGTAATGTGTCTTCATCCTTTGTACTGACTTTCTTGAAAGCCTGTCTGAGTGCCTATAATACTTTTATGTAATTTATCTGTCTATGATACAATGATTCATTGAATCTGCTATTTAGAAAATCACAGAATGGTGTCATTGTTACTAAATCTAACATAAAATAATCCATAGTCCATATTAATGTTCTCAGGGTTCCTTATCATTAGGCATTTAGGTCATTAACCTCTTATTTCCTGCCTCACATATTCTGAATTACTCACTCTAAACTCGCACATCTTACTTGCACTGCCTAATTAACTTCTAATTGTTACTTAGATTGTTGCTTAGTCTAAGACTTCCATGATTTGGTGTATATCACTGGATGTTTCCAAAATAATCTATACCTAATTATATTTACTGTGAGAGTTGCCTGTTTAATTTATGAAGTATTTCACAATTTGTAAAATTGTTTTTAAAAAGTGGAATTGTTGCTTGTTTTATTACTTTTAAATGCGCAGCACTTGAGACTTGAGTACCATTGCATTTGGAGCAGGAAAATCAATTTGAAAACCCATTAAAGTGTTAAAAACAAAGGAAGAAAAGCTTTCAGGAAGGTGAAGGAAAAGTGAGCAGCAGAGAAAGAGAATCCCTGAGGTTTCCTGTTCAAATACTTGAATTTAGCAACGGGAGGAAGAGATGGAAGGAAATGGGTGTCTGAGACCCAAGAAGGAACTGAAGTGAGCATTGAAGCCCCCTGGGAGAGCAGAGAGAGTGTCAATGAATATCAACCAATGGCACTCTATACCTGAGCCCAGACTCTGTGTGGGAGGACAGCTTGAAACTGCAGACACACAGGGACTGCTGGTGACCCAAGAGGCCTCCATAGGGAAGTGCACCAGTAGCACACAGCAGCGGATGCAACGAACTGCAGTGGCTCAATTGTTGCATTTGATCTAAGAGAGGACAGTCAGCCAGGAGTCACCTAGCGGCTCCCAGCTGAGTTCAAGTCTACAAGGAAACCATGAACTACCCTGGGCTGGGTGGGTCTGGTTCCACCTTCAAAGACAGAAGCCAACCTGAGCTTCAGTGGGTATATGGGCACAGGCTCCTGGGATCATCCTCTAACCTGCTGTGGAATGGCTGTCTTGCTGGGATTGATCACCATGAACCTAGACTCTTTCTGCCCATGTTGTCTACCACTGGCAGCAGAGACACACCCTGAGGTGGACATTTCATTTTTTTTTCTTTTCCTATTGTTAATCTTTTCTTTATTTTCTTTCACTATTATTTTTAATTTTTGTTTGTTTGGGGTTGTTTGTTTATTTTGTCGCTATTTGTTTTTGTTTTCATATGAGTGTGAATATGGCTTCTAGTTTTCTTTTTTTGCTATTGTTGTGGTTGTTCTGTTCTGCTCTTGTTTTCATTTCTCCCTTCCCTCTTTTTCTTCTGACTTACGTACCACTTGTTCAAAATTTGCATGTATTTTCTTTGTCCTTCAGGCTTCCTTCCAATCTCTTATTTTTCTTCTATTTCTTTATTTTTTTCTCACCCCTTTTAAATTTTCTCTCTTGATGATAAGATTGTCATATTTGTGGGCTTATTCTTGCGTACAGTTTTCTGGCTTATTTTAGATTTTGTTATACAACCACAAATACAGTTCAAATGGTTGAAGGTGGAAAAATTGACAGTTACGTCTGTTTGTCATTTTCTAGACTATATTTGATGCTATTTTTATTGCTGATTTTACTACCTTACCCAAAGTGACATAATTGAAAAAAAGTGACATAATTGTTCTAAACAGTTGATCTTCCTTATATGACATGACTGAGATTGTATAAGGGTCATATAAAATTCTATAGGCCAGTACCAAAGAACCAGGGGCTGGGCCAAGTAGGCAGTAATTTCTCATCCCCAATAACTTGAAGAGGCAGTATCTTGCAATAGACTCAAAACCTAAATGCCAGATGTTTGGTGAAGACACTTCTGAGAAATAGTCAATTCCTAAAGATTCTAAATACTAACATTAAAACTACTCACTACAGGCAATTTATAAGTATCTAGGAATTAAACTTTTAAAAATACAAAATTAGAAGATACTTAAACAAATGCAACTCCAGATGTTGAGCTCATTAAAGACAAACTCAGAATCCAATGAAATGAAACAATCCAAGAGTCACCTACATGAACTCCCTGAAGTAGTAACACTGGAAGTAACAAAACAAAAGAATAAAATTTAGGAAAAGTCAAATCAGAAATAATTTCTTGGATAACTACAGAGATGCAGACCATAATGAAAGGCATGCTTAGTGACTCAAGAGCAGACAGAGATTTTTAAAAAATAGAAGAGTTTAGGAAAATGATGCAAACCATGAATGCCCAACATAAGAAAAAATGAAATGCATAAAACTTATTCAAACAGAAACCCAGGAGATGAAAAATTCCATGGAAAGCAGCAGAATGAGTCAATGTGAGGATAGAACCTTGGATATAGAAGACAGGATTGTGGTAGTGAGCATGAAATGAAAGACTTCTTAGATATAGGAAGGGATGACAAGAAAACAATCCAGTTGCTGCCAAATGATTCAGAGAAGAATAACATAAGATTAATCAGAGTCCAAGAGAAAGTACAATGTAGCACAAATGACATTTTAGAAAACTGTTTGCAGACATCATGGAAGAAAAATTCCTTAGCATGGAAAAAGAATTTGATATACAAATAAGTGATGCATTGTTGTAATCACAGGTTATGAGGAGAAGAATTAGAATCAAAGCACAGAATTTGTAAGATTATTTTATGATGGTCACTCAGAATTAACACAAGAATCTGCAGGAAATCTGTCCACAACACTAAAGACACAGAATATTCAGCCAATGGCCTGAATCCCACCACAATGTCCTGCATGAGTCCGGATGAGGACCTAGAGCCCATGATAATGCCTCCCAGTCCAACTGGAGGTCTAGAGCCCCCAAGAAGGACTCACACTAGTCTGTGCTGGGAAGGTCCAAAGGTCAGTAATGGAAGCTAGGAATTCTATGCCAGCACGGTGAAGGAGCTGTGCTGATAGGTTGAGCGTTCTACACTGAAACTGAGAAGTCACACTCAAAACAAAGACCAGGGTTTTTCTGAAAAGCACCACAGCCATCCTCAGCCACATGGAGGACCCCAAACTCTTCTGACTATAAGAACAGTCAAGTACATGCCAGAAAGCCAACAGGATGATTTTGTCCTGGAGATTAAATGGCACATGTCTTCCCCTCTGGAGCCAGGAAGCAATGCTCAATGTAAGGGCCAGAGCTCCCCCAGAGCACCACAGCCACACTCACCAAAAAGGTCCCCAGCTCCTCTGACAATGGTTGAACTCACACTGGAGAAGCCAGTCATGACAAGCTCCTCCAGGAGAACCAACAGCTTAAATAGCAACATGCAGGAGAACCCACAATGCCTCACTCATCTTCTCCATGGCTCTATTTATGCTGGCAATTTTTTCTCAGGTGGAATATCTACGCTCAGCACCATACTGATTTAATTCAGCTGGCGTTAAATTGACCGCCTGTTTTTAATCCATAACAAGCATACAGAACTCCAACTAGCCATGATCAAAATTAAATTTATAGTAACTTATATAATAGTTAAGATTCCAGAAATTGAAAGTCTGCCCCAGCAGGGTGACGGATCTGTGCCAAGAGGCTGAGAGATCGGCGCTGGATCCAAAAGGTGATGCTTGAATAAGGACCAGAGCTCCCCTAAAAAGAACCACAGCCACCCTCAGTGGCAGTGAGGACCTGATCTCCCTGGATGATGAGAACGACCAAATTCATATTAGGAAAACCAGCATGATATTCTTCTCAGGAGAATCAACAGCACACCATCTTTCCTTCCAGTTCTCCATTCCAATTGTCGGGCAGGTGATCCACACCCAGCGCCACACTGATTCAGTTCAGCTGTGTTACAAGCTGACAATTATTTAATACACCACAGAATATCTTTATCTCAATTTGATAAAAGCCATCTACGACAAATCAAAAGTCAACATTATACTAAGTAGACAAAAACTTAAAGCTTTCCTTCTAAAATAAAAAACAAGACAAGGATGTCCACTATCACCACCCCTATTCAATATAGTTCTGGAAATATTAGCCAGAACAATTAGACAAGAGTAAGAATTAACGGCAATAAAGATAGTAAATGAGGAAGTTGAATTATCATTATTTGCAGACTATATGGTACTCTATTTAGAGGACCACAATAACTCCACAAAAAGACTTCTTGATTTAATAACCAAATTCAATCATACAACTGGACAAAAAGTCAATACTCAAAAATAAATATGATTCCTGTACATTAATGACAAACTCACTGAGAGACAAATTAGAGAAACAACACATTTCACAATAGCACCTAGAAAAGTAAAATACCTAGGAATCAATCTAAGAAGTAAATGACCTCTACATTGAAAACTACATTACTCTGAAAAACAAGTATTATGGTTTATGTCTAGATGTCCCTCCCAAGACTCACACAGTCATGGGTCATATAGTTTGTGAATGACTCATGGTCCAGTGATGGGACTACCGGAGTGAGTGCTACACTCAAATGGGCATGGCCTACATACAGCGTAGGGACAGAGTCTCCTCTCTATACTCTTCCCCTTATGCTTTGTTGTTTGTGCTGTTTTCCATCAGCATGAACTTTTGCCCTCTGCCATGTGCCACTCTGCCTGGGAGCCAGCAGATTACAAACCGAAACTACAAGCTAAATAAACCTTTCCTTCCTTATCTTTGGGTGTCAGGTATTTTGTCTTAGAAATGAAAGAAAAGTAACAAAATAATGAGATTTTTGAGGATATCATAAAATAGAAAGAAATTCTTTGCTTTTGGCTACAAAGATTAAATATCATGAAAATGGTCATATCTCCAAAATTACAATACAGATTTAATATAACTCCCATCAAAACTCCAACAGCATATCTCACAGAATTAGAGAAAACAATCCTAAAACTCACTTGGAACCAGACAACACTTTGGATAGTAAAGGTAATCATGTATAACAAAGACAAAACAGGGGACATTATAATTCCTGACTTTAAATTATACTTCAAAGCTAGTGTAATAAAACAGCATGGTACTGGAGGGAAAAAAAGACCCAAGGATTAATGGAACAAATTAGTCATTACAGAAACAATTACAGATATACTCAGCCACCTTGTTTCTGACAAAAGTGTCAAACATCTTCACTGGAAGAAAGATAGCTCTTTAATGATGATGCTGGAAAAACTAGCTTTCCATATGCTGAAGATTTAAATTAAATCCATATCATTCATGATGCACTAAACTAAAATTGAAATGGATCAAACATCTAAATATTAAAGCAGAAATACTACTTCCTATGAAAGATAGAGTAGGTCTTCTACCTCAAAGACATAGATTTAGGCAAAGACTTTATGAACATAATTCCAATTGCACAGGAACTATCACAAAAAATCAACAATAGGGATCTCACATTTTAAAAAGCTTTTTCACAGTAACAGAAAACCTGCATAGAGCAAAGAGACAACCTACTGAATAAATAAAAATTTTTCCAGCTACTCTTCACATAAATGATGAATATCTAGAGTACATGAAGAACTCAAATCAATTACAACCTCAGGTTTAAAGATACAGTGCAAAAAATGGAATTTGAAATGAATAGACACTTCTCAGATGAAGTGGAAATGGAAAATAAATATATGAAAAAATGTTCTACACCACTGATTATACAGGAAATTTCAAATTAAAACAACACTACGTTTCCATCTCACCCCAGAAAGCATAGCTATTATCAAGAAATCAACCAATAACAAATTCTGGCAGGGATGTGGTTAAAAAGAAACTCTTTATCATTTGTGGTCACAGTGTAGAAAGGTATAACCACTGTGGAAATCAGTGTTCTATTTCCTCAAAAACTAAATCTGGAAATTTCATTTAACCGAGCCATTTCTTTTCTTCGTATCTTCCTAAAAGAATTAAAAACATCATGCCACAGTAATATATTCAGACCCATGTTAATAGCAGCAGTTTGTAATATTTAAATCTTGGAAACAGCCCAAATGCCTATCAACTGATGAAGATAAAAGGGGTGTGTGTGTGTGTGTGTGTGTGTGTGTGTGTGTGTGTGTGTATTTAATACAGCACAGTATTACTCATCCATAAAGAATAATAAGATTGAGACATTTTTAGCTAAATGCATAGGCATTGAGACCATACTCTTAAGTGAAATAAACAGGACACATGTATAAATATCATATAATTTCTCTAGTGTTAGAAACCAAAAGTGTAAACAAGAACCAAAATACACAATAGATATTGTGGAAATAGGGAGAAAATTTTCAAAGGAGAAGGAGAACTAGAGAGAAGGGTTGGGGAAAGGAAGGAAGAGAAGACAAAAAAACATGAGAAAAGACGGGAAATGAAAACAAAGCTTTTGTAAGTAAGGAGAAGAGGGACTGAAGGGAGAATAGGGAAGCGGAAAAATAGAATTAACTTAATAGTGCACTGATGCAGATTCCCTGTAATAAATGTGATCATTAGGTAAACCTAAAATGTACCAATAAATTTAATTAATTAAAAAAAGAACAAACAAAGAAATATAGGGATCATATTTACTCATAACAGAAAGACACAAGCTTACTCTAAAATGAAAGGATATAAAAAGGCTATGGCTGGAAATATAAGGCAGACAAAGATATATTAACAAACATAAATGGTGTCTAATGTGGAATTTTTAAAAAGGGAGATGATCGGGCCAGGAGGTTAGCTCAGCGGCTTACGTGCCTGCTTGGCAAACATGAGGTCATGAGTTTGATCCCTGGTACCAAAAAAAAAAAGGAGGTGATCAGTATTTGGAAAATTACAGGTATTATTTTCATATATTATTTGCATTTATGCTGAATGATAATAGCTTTGGAATACATATTATCATTAGAAATTTTCAGAGTTTCTATTGTGAACACTAACAATAGAGTAATAGATGGGAAGAGATCAGGCAACAACTGATACTGGCTACTTTTTTTTTTTTTTTTTTTTTTTTTTTTTTTTTTTTTTGGTTTGTACCAGGGATCGGATACTTGCACTTGCCAGGCAGGCGCTTATGCCTCCTGAGCTAAATTCCTGGCTGATACTGGCTTTTGAGTGTGTAGTTTATTACACATCCATTCACACACCAAACCCTTACTCTATAAGGCACACACAAACCAGTGTAAGGTTTAGTCCCAGTCAGTCACATGGATATGAGACCAAATCATGAGTCCACAACACTCACTGAGCAGAGATTAGGTCCATGTTGGGGCAAGTTGAGAAAGTACATTGTTTCAGTGGAGGACCTGCAGAATATATGTCCCTTGAGGCTAGTATGTGGCAAGTATGTGGCTTGTGAGCAAAGCTCAGGTGTTTGTTGGAGACAGCATCTGATGTGCAGCTCAGTTGTGCTTCCTCTGGAGTGATTTCTGAGATCACGTCCATCTTGCTCATGTGTTACTATAGCTGTGGCAATCAGGCTATCTGCTCTTGGGTGGAACCCATCAGCTTATTTGGATGCTGCTTTTGTAGAGTGCTTTGGGTTGACATGACTATTGGCACACTTCTCACAGTTACCAGGTATGTAGCTTTAGGCTAATGATATTTGTGACTGAAGAAAGATTTCTTCATTTGGGCTACTTCTTCATAAAGTCATTGCCACTGTATCATATTATAACTTCACTAATAAAATAATTTTATGTCTTAAAGATGCAGTATCCTGATGCATCAAATTTGCCCAACATAAATAGCTTAAGTATTTCTAAAGTTATTGTCTTTTCATCATACATAACATTTTAATCTTAAATTCGTGCTTTTTTGGCTATCACTTGAAAACAGTCACAAATTAAAATTTAAAAAGAAGAAAATGCGTTGTCTACCACCCAGTGAAATATTACCTGCATTTAAGTCAGTTCATTGCAAAAAAAGGGTGTGGTGTTGCATATCTGTAATCTTGGCGCTCAGAAGCCTGAGGCAGGAAGATCATCACAAATTTGAAGCCAATCCGCGCTATGTAGTGAGTTCAAGACCTGCAGCAAAACAAAACAAAAGACAGTTTAACTTTTATATTGAATCCCTTCCTTCTAATTAATCACGAGCAAAGTATTTGAGAACTTTAACTTGTGAATTGTAAACACAATTCACATTTCATAAAGGTTTGTGAAGTTTAAGCATAATTTGTTCTTGGATATTCCTTCAGGCAATTAATTGTACAAAGTGCAGAAAGTGGGTGTCACTTAATACCAGGCTATATTCTTCTAAAGCAGATGTCGATTGTAAAGAGTTAATTATATCTTTCCAATTAGAATCTCTGGAGGATTTTAGTGCCTGGAGAACGGCACTCTCAGTGTCATAGCAATGGAAGAGCTTGTTTAGATCCTTAGTTACATCAGTTTCCAAAAGCAT